GCCCCCGCGCGGCGCCTCCTGCGTCCCCCTGGCCCGCCGCATCCACATGGACGACACAGGGCTCACGGTGCTGCGCATCCTCTCGCAGCGCAGCAATGACGACGTGGCCAAGGAGTTCGTCAAGCTCAAGTCGGACACGCGCTCGGCCGAGGAGGGCAGTGGTTAAACCACCCCTCCGCGTCCCCATCTTAGTCCCCCCTCACCCCAACGGGCCCCTTTTCTATAGCGTTCTCCAGCTGTGGATAAGCCATAGGGACCAGCCGCCCTCCTTCCCATCCCCAGGGCAGCGCCATGGAGGGGGACACAGGTGTCCCCCGCTGTGCGTCCCCTGAGTGCCACGCACGTGCCCCTTCTTTGGTCCGGCAATGCAGGGCACAGCCAAGCCCCGCTGGGGGGCAGGGGACACAGGGACGGGACGGCCCCGTGTGACCGATGGGGCAGATGAGCCCCTTCCCTGCATGCCTGGGGCAGGGGGACCTCAGGACGTGCTCCCAGAGCCCTGAACCCCATTGCAAGGAAGGTGCCAACCTGGGGGGGGTCGTGGCTGGCTGGGACAAGGGTGCCACCCCTCACGGAGGACACGGGGCCGTCTCCTGCCCACTGGGCACTCTGCACACGCAGCTGTAGACCCCGGGGCGGGGGACACGGCGCAAGGGCTATGGGGGCTGCACGGCCCTGCTCCCGGCCTGGCTCCCCTCTTCCCGTCTTCCCCGCTGCCCCCACGAGGGATGCGGCTCTAGGATGCCATGGCCAGAGCAGGGGGCATGCGGGCACCTGGCTCCCTCAGCTCCAGCCGGCCCCTCGGCCCTGCAAGGTCCTCGCAGCACCCAAGGGTCCTCCGTGGCACAAGCCACCTCCCAACACCCCAGCCTGGAGGCCCCATGTCCCCTTTGATGTCATTTCCCTGTGACCTGTGGTGTGCGTGTCCCAAGGGGGCAGCCGGGGAGCGCGGGGACAGCGGGGGACAGCCACCAAGCCCCATTGAACCCCCAAGTCAATATACCTCTCTCCTACCCTCCCACAACAGGGTTGCCCAGCCCGGCCCCTCTCTCCGTCCCTGTTTCTAGAGGATGCGCCTGGGACCAAAGGGTTGAGCCGTTCACTCGCGTTTCTGTTCAATGTTTACACCCCTTTTCTAACTGCTGCTCCAGCGCGGCCGGGGCGCAGCCAGACCGCGGCCCCTGTCCCCCCTCCCCAGGTGTCCCCCCACCCCGAGATGTCCCCTTTTGGCATGTGATTGACCTGACACCTCCGCTCCCGTAGCACATTCGTTGACGATGCCCGCGTGTCCGTAAACACCCTCCCGGTGCTGCTGCCGGCAGGGACGACCATGGATGCATGACAGTGAGATGTTTTGCACTATTTTGACTTTTTTGGGCTCTGTAAAAATATTTTATTATATCTGACATTAAAAAGCACACCCTTCACTGTGTGCCAGGGTGCTTTGGAGAGGGAGGGCACCCAGGAGCCCCAGGTGAGCTGGGGCAGGGAATCATAGAATCACAGAATGCTTCAGGTTGGAAGGGACTTCTAGAGGTCATCTAGTCCAACCCCCTGCACGCACAGGGTCACCTCGAGCAAGTGGCACAGGACTGCATCCAAACAGGTCTTGAATAGCTCCACAGTAGATTCCACAAGCTCTCTAGGCAGCCTGGTCCAGTGCTCTGTCATCCTCACTGTCAAGAATTTTTTCCTTAAGTTCCTGTGGAACTTTGGGTGCTTCAGTTTGTGGCCATCACCTCTAGTTCTGTCAGTGGCCACCAGTAAAGAGAGGCCAGCACCATCCTCCTCACTGCCTCCCTTGAGGCACTTCTAGACCCTGCTCAGATCCCCTCTCAGCCTTCTCTTCTCCAGCTGAACAGGCCCAGCTCCCTCAGCCTCTCCTCATAGGGCAGATGTTCCAGGCCCCTGATCATCCTCATAGCCCTGCGCTGGACTCTCTCCAGCAGCTCCACATCCCTCTTGTCCTGGGGAGCCCGGAACTGGACACAATACTGCAGATGTGGCCTCACTAGGGCTGAGCAGAGGGGCAGGATCACCTCCCTCGACCTGCTGGAGACGCTC